TTATTATCGAAAATATCAAAAATTTATAGTTCCCCAGCTCAAGATTATTATATGAAATCAAATACGTAAATAAATTCGTGAGAATGGGCTAACAAAACATGAGACATGTTCATAAAATCGTGCTAAATCAATAAGACCCATTATCTTTTAGTGATTTTTTTTTAATTTCTTGCACGCTCAATTGTTGCATGCATGAAATCTGCTTCCAAATGCCCAGACTCCCTCGATTGTCACAATATACGTGCAATTAACAACAAAGAGCATGGCCGCTGCAAAAATGTATTTCGGTTCTATAATTAATATACAAGGCCGAGTAAGCAATTTTATTTACAATCTGATTTAGTGGCATTTACAACTTATATGCACAAGCAACTTATATTTAAAAGGATTTNTTATATTTAAAAGGATTTCAAATTTGTTGGAGTACTTAACACATTTGAATAAGCAGTACATTAGCTTATGGCGCTTTAGCAAAGTCTCCAGTTTTGGAAATAAGACAAAAGTCGACTTAGGACCGGTTACTCAATGTCTGGTTAACGCTAATCCTCGGTTAAACATAGTTATCGACGTTACCGACTCCCTGTTGTATGCATGGAGTCTTAGACGTCGATAACGATGTTTAACCGCAGATTAGTGTTAACCAGACATTGAGTAACCGGCCCTGAGGGCCGTTTTCACCAACTCTGATTAACACCAATCGCCAGTTAAACATCGTTGCCGACCTTACTGACTCCATACATATTACATTGAGTCGGTAACGTCGGCAACGATGTTTAACTGGCGATTAGTGTTTACCAGAGTTGGTGAAAACGGCCCTAAGTGATCAGAAAAATTCAGTAGACAAGCTGTAAAGACAAGCATGTTAATAATAAAGAACATGTTAAACTATATAGGTAGTTTTATACCGCGATAATGTTGTCTTGGCCAGATGGTTCCCTTTTTGTTTACACAGTAGACACTGCCCCTTGTTTTGTATACCCGCAAAGGTTCTTCCGGTAACATGCACATACATATGTACGTCTCCAGCGTTTGTGGTTACATTAAATAAAGATGCCACGAATTTCGCTATCACGTAACCCTGCCAAAAGCCTTTAAATATGTACACATTGAAGCTGAGGAAACTACATTTGGCCACCAATCTTCCAGCAATACTAGGCACACTGATTGCTTTTTGCTTTTGATTGCAAATATGTGTTTCTTTGCGGGTACTTTACCTGTATTATAGAAATATATCCAGTATGTATATTTTGACAAAGTACACAAAATAATTAAAGAAAATAATCCTCAATTACCTCAAAATTTCACCAAACTCTGCCAATTATCGTTTTGTTTGGCAGCTTACTTTGACACATATGTACATATTTCTCATGTNTCTCAAAATTTCACCAAACTCTGCCAATTATCGTTTTTTTTGGCAGCTTACTTTGACACATATGTACATATTTCTCATGTTTATGTT